AAATTATATAAATATAAATATAAATATAAATATATTACAAATATATATAAATAAATATATATTTATATATATATATAGACACACACATTCTCATATATAAATACATAAAGAAAGTAATTTATAATATTGGACTAAAATTATATTAACATACTTGAGTTATTTTACTAAATTAAAAGATAAAATTTACATGTTAAAAATAATATTAAAATTTTATTAAAAACATATCAATGATTTTGTGTTTGACTCATAACATATAATACTACGTATTATATTTTTAAAATTGAAAAGTAATTTTTATACAATCTTTTTATTAATTATGAAATATTAAAAAAAATTATATGAATTTGAAACAACAAACACCGTTAGTTGGATGGTTAGGAACTTAACCAAATAGCTAGGAGGTCTTGGGTTCAAACTTCCATGGAGTGAAGTTTTGAAGAAAAATTGTAAAAAAAAAAAAAACTGGTCGGACCGGTCCGAACCGGTGTGAACCGGCCGGTCGGACCGGTTCGCAGCGCATTACGGTCCAACCGGTCCGGAGTGAAGTTTTGAAGAAAAATTGTAAAAAAAAAAAAACTGGTCGGACCGGTCCGACCGGCCGGTTCACACCGGTTCGGACCGGTTCGCAGCGCATTACGGTCCAATGGGCCGGACCGGACCGGTTGGACCACCGGTTCGTCGGTTCACGGTCCGAACCGGCCGGTCCGGTCCGGTTTTTAAAACTATGCCTACGCCACAGGAGAGTTGAAAATGGAGACTTTACAAAGGTGAGAGAATGGAAGGGTCTCAATGAAAATGGAGACTTTACAAAGTGAGTTTTATTCGTTTTGAATCAAAGTTTATTTTTTACTCCATTCTCAATTACTCTAATTCCTCAATAGATTTCATCCCTTCTCCCCACCCCATCATCTCCCCGCCGCCCCCTCCTCTCGCCGCCCCAGAGAATGGAGCACTATAAAAATTTTAAAATTAATCATGTATAAAAAATAAGTTATGTTCCCCTAAAATATATTCAAATTATCTCAAAATATCTTTGTTTTTATTAAAATATCAACATGGTTTCAATAAAATATGTGGAAGAAAATGATTTTTTATGAAAATTAGTTTCTCCTAGAATAATTATCTAGAAACATATTTTCCCACAACTAAATGCACCTTGAACTTCCAAAATTTCCTAATTTTTTGTTACTTTTTAACTTCTTTTAGTTTCTTCCAACTCTTTCTAATTTCTTCCAAATCAATTTAAATCTTCAAACCTCTTCCAACATTTTCAGCAAATTTTCCTCATTTAGTTTCATCTTACTTCTTCTTATTCTTTTCAATAGTGTTTTAAAAAATATTTGCATGCATTTTTCGTATTATTATTATTATTATTATTATTATTATCATCATCATCATCATCATTATTATTATTATTATTATCGTCACCATCATCATCATCATTACAAGTACTATTATCGGAAGGGTTCTAGAGCCACTTGCACTGGAGTAGGGGTAGACACGGTACGTTTCCGATTCCGGAACCGCCGGTTGCGTTACCCCCACCCCTTGATACTGTTACCGTCACCGGACCGGACGGTACCAGTTCCGGTACCCGTACCGGCAGTTCTGGTACCGAACCGGCCGCTTTCGGCAACCCCCTTATTTTTAAAAAAATTTAAAAGTGTAAATGTGTAATTGTTAATGGAAATAGTAAAATAAAAGATCTAAAAATGTTGTTCTTATTTAACGTTTTATTAAATTTAACTCAAGTAGTTTCGCTTAGATGGTTTTATAAACCATTTGTGTGACCCCTCCGATCAGTTAGGCCGCGGCAAACCGGGTTCCCGGGACGGAGGGTGTTACAAGATCACACTAAAAAGCACCAGATGCACCAAAATAAGTGGATTCCCGTTATAAAAAAGTGGGTTTTATTAATGAATATAAGTTATAGATATAGAAAGAAGAATTGACAAAGGCTACATTTGCATTCTCTTTGCCTAGTAAATTCAGTATAACCGATAACAACCAGATTTTGGATAAGTGTAATTGGATAATCCCCATGATATAGATGGAAATCAAGGAGGGTGCATGTCACTTAAGCAAAGATTTGTATCTTGGGCAAAGGAGTCCAGTAGCTTGGACCAAAATGCACCATCTTTGTAGGGCGTGTGCTACCAAGATACCGGTATGCCTATCTTTACCCCCAAGAAGAGGCATATTCCACTGGCGTGCAAGAGGCTGTTATCCAATGCATAGGTTTACTCTAGATGATGTGGAAGGAAACTCTCCCACATGCACAAATCCATTGGATATGTTATCGTGCGAAGGAGGAAAGACGGTCGGAGATCAATGCAAGAGACTGGCCTTGCCAACCGGTGTAGCAACTAAGATGCACTAGAGGACTTTGATGAACCTCCATTGTCCACCATCCTGACATGGTAGAAAACTGGAGACTGAGATAAGTCTTTTTGAAAGATGAATCCATCCCAGAATAAATTCCAAACACATTTCTTACAAGACCAACCTTAAGAAAAAGAATATTTTAAAAAATCCCAGCCAAAGATATTTTTTAGGTGCTCTTTATTTTTCAACATAAATAATACTTTTTTTTCATCAAATTAAGTGTCTAAATTAAATGAGACAATACAAGAGTTTGACTGCAAAAAGAATATCAAATTATGTATACGAAAAATTATTTTTAACATGCAAAAAAATCACTAATTATCCAAATCAAAGTGACCTTCATGATAAATACTTGATCCCTGGATATTGGGACCCCAACTTCCCACATATGTTGCAATTCCTTGACCACAGGCTGCATGTATACATTAAGCCTTTTTTTGGGGTTATTGGGGCCTGAACATAGCAACGTTAAGAACATGAACTCATTCCGAATACACATATCAGGGAGCTATTTATATGGTGTGATCATGAATATTGTGCTCTAAACTGTCCATGTGGTGCAAAGCTGTCTGTGCATAATCCAAGATGAACATTTCTTGCCTTGCATTCAAAGTGAAGATGACATCGATCAAACTATCTCTAGTGCTCGGAGCCTGATGGGTGGGAAATCAAAATACTTTTGGTTTCATGTTCTGCATGCCATGTCATGTATATGGAAGTCACAGAAGACGCATATAGTTGTTGTAATCATGGAGCAAGAGGAAAATTATGCAACTTGGAAATATGACATCTTTTGCACATTTTTCCTCTTCGTTCACTTTGTGGTTGTACCTATCAGAATCACATAACTTGCATTTATCCAAAAACTTGTCACTTTTCCAAAACAACATACACGCTGATGGACAATAATCAATTTTAATTACTGCGTGGCCTAATTTAGAAATCATCTTCTTTACGCCATAAAAATCCGTGGGTAGATTTTGATCTTGTGGCAACGAGCCCCCTTTAGTTTGCAACCATCTAGATGCGCAAGGTTCGGGAAGATTTTAGTCCAACTTTATATTGAGTAATTTTGACATAGTAGCTAATGAAGACTTCGAATCGCAATTCTCATACAATGGTTCATCAGTTGCCTTTAGGACATCTTGAAATTGATCTAACAATGTGTTGATTTCATCATGTGGATCTGATGAGCTCGGACCATCATTCACAATTTGATGATTAGACTTCGAAGGAAATGCGGTCAAAGCCGTAAGATCATATACAAATTGTTGATCCAGGACATGTTATCATAATCACCCACACAGCAAGAGACTCTAAAACATCATGTACGAGAAGTTCCAACGATTTGTGGTAAGTATGAAGTGTCAAACGATTCTCCTTGGCAATACCAGTTGCAAAAATTATCAATAAAACCTTCTCGATAAAGATGCCACGAATGTTACCTGCAGTAGCGAACTTGCTGTTTTTACATTTCGTACTAGGACATCGAATCTTCTCCCAGTCTAAATATTGGGTTTGAGCACGTGCAAATTCAACAAATTCTTCAATGCCTGCAAGGAATTCCTTCGATAATCCTTGTCCACTTGGAGCATTTTTTCAATACATCCAATTTCTTAACAACCTATACATGATGTGTGCTGAAAATTGAACATAACTATAATTAATTAATGATTTGTTCATATTATAAAAAACACAAATCACAAACTACAATTTTTTTGGGTTTTCAAATTGGTGAGGATTTTTGTGAAGGATTCAGACAACATTAACTGTAAATTCTGCACATATCACATGGTTCTTGAAATCAAACATGTTGTGAAGGAATTGTGAGGAATGGCGCCATCGCGAATTAGAATTTTTGAATATGTATTATGGGTGCTCAATATTTCACAAATGTAAAATGGAGAAATACTTATTTTTGAAAATTCAATGTTTATAAAATTAAATCTATATAAAAACTTAATTAATATACCTTGCAACAAAAGAAGTAGAAAGATAATTACATTCTTAAAATATTAAATTAATTTTAAGAATTTCAAAGAGGACACAGGGAGTATAAATTTGTTATTGAATATAAATTTATATAAAAATATTAATCGTACCTTGACAATGATAGTGTTACTCATCAAGAAATATACAAGTCACATAAAAAATACAATCTCACTCCAAATATATTTTGTATGCTTTTGTGGTTCTAAAAATGATCGTCAATGGAGTTCATACACATATACATATATAAATACCATTGTTTCTAATATAAACCGCCACAAATTCAAAAATGATATTGTGAAGGCACTCGTGACGATCTTTGTGACGCCATGGGGAAGTTATGATTTTGTGAATGATTTTGTGACAACAAGTGCTGGCATTCCATGGTGGTATCTTTTTTAGCCTTTTTTGTCACAATTCGATCGTTGCGTCATCACAAATGCTAGTGATGGTAAAATCCTTCACAAACGTCCTTCACAAATACGCAAACCTTTTGTAGTGTATAAAACCGTAAAAATTGAGCTTTATAAAATTGGGGGCCTTTACTTTGAGTGAAAAAATTCCGTTTTACTCAAACGGTAAACAAAGGGAATAATATAGAAACAAGCGAATCAATAGAAGAAGAAGAAAAAAGGAGAATTTTATTGAAGGAATTTTATTAGAACAAAGAATTGCCTAAATTGACAATGTGAAGTCACTCATATTCTCAACTCCATACATGAAATCTCACTGCATATCGAAGAACTGAACCGATGATGGAGAAACGGAATCCCACTGTGGCCCCCCTCCAATCATTACCCGTAGTACATTATCATGTCAGTGATATATACAGTGCATGCTTCGATCCTTATCCATCTCTTCAAGTCTCCCATTAGTGTTCAACACTTCAGCTCAAGGGACCATCTTCAAAATAATTTTTTAAAAAAAAATCAAATGTACATACATTTCACTTATTCCACTCACTCTCTCCTTACAAGTGAAGATTGAGATCATATCGAGAAGGGACGGGGTAGAAACTTGAGGTCAAAAATGAAGGCGACAAACAACGGCGGCAGAGGAACTTCCTCTACGGCCACTGAGGAATGAATAAATTAATGTGGGAGAGGGGGAGGGAATCTATCTGTCAATTCCACTGTCATTATGGTGGGAGATAATAGTATAGCTAGTAGCTATAGGGTGGTGGTGGATGATCTGTTTATAATTTGGGGTCATAGGTAACAACAACACAGAGATTTCCCATGTCTGATGATGCCATGCTGGTAGCCAGCTGGGACTGGGGGCGGCTCGCATCAGGAAATACATTCATCGACGAACCAGAAATTTCATGTGGGATCGAGCTGTCTTAAATACTGTAATGCCTCACCGAAGACTCCAACTCTTCGGGACTTGGGCTGACCATTTCCTTCATCTGCTTACCATTCTTGTAAATTTTGAATGTTGGTACCGTTCTAACATTCTCCGCATTAGCAATTACCCCGCAGTCTTCCACATCAACCTTTAATTTAAACAAAACAAATGAACACATTTTTTTTTGTTCACTTTATCGCCGGATAAAATGAAAGAGCAGAGATTTATAGATAGATTTTTACATGGACCTGAAAGACTGTTCCTATAAATCTAGTGCCTAGATAGTCAATCTATGGCTTAAAAATTCACCACTTTGATTTGCCCGGAACTAATTATCCCCTTCTCATTTTTAATGAACAAATCCCATGTGGATTATCTAACTTATCCTCTAACATGTTAGCTTTTTTAACATATGAATGATAAACTTCTTTCAAGTATTTATTTGACACTTCACCTTCACTTCTTATATTTGAGCTATTTTAGAAAGTGGACAAGTAAATCTAGACGGAGTATAATTTAGTTCCGGATGCTAAATCAATAAAACTCTGAAAAAAGGGTATCCAAAACAAAACCCCAGATAATATGATGTTTAACTTGGTACCTTGATAAAATTTATGGATGGATATTTGCTACACAATGCATCTAAGAACGCAGATATTTGCCAGCATTGTACACTGGAAGCTGATTTGAAGTGGACTACCGATGCCTCTGCAATTCATAACTGTATATATAAATGTCGGTTCATAACTTTATATTAATAAAAACTAAAATAAAGATCAAAGGATATTAAGAGAAAAGCCTACCAGGGGACAATATTGCAGCTCGAAACTGTTCAAGGCTTGAAACAATTTCAACCTCTCCACCAAATTTCAAATTACAAACCTCTTCCCCAGTTGATTTCTTAAGTGCAACTTGAGCATGAAACAAAGACTCAGCAACTTCAGTATCATGTGGAAGTTCCCTCTTCAGGACTTCATAATCTCTTACCGCTTCGACCCACAGCTGAAGCTATATATATGCCCAGAGATATTCAGCCAGATTTAAATAGAGACTTTCCCTGCTCATTCCATCTGTAAAAACAAGAGTATAATATATTACCTTCATGTTTGAGGCAGCCCTGCGAAGAAGGGCTTTAGTATAATTAGGCTGGATACGGAGGGCTTGATTGCAGTCGCTGACAGATCTATCCCACTGGCCCAACTTGTACCAGCATGCAGCTCTATTGCAGTAGAGAACAGAGTTTGAAGGATCAAGCCTGAGACCGTCACCATATGCTGCACAAGCCCCAGTATACCTTTGAGATTTGAAAAGGTCATTGCCACGGATACGAGCTTGGCTAACCAAACGCACGTTGCTGAGTAGAAGTGAAATTTCAATGTTCTTAGGATCAATTTCCCGAGCTGTTTCGATGGCTTTAAGTGCATTTTCAAACCTACAACAGTGATTAATCAAATTCTCATGAACCAATCGCACTAGTGTGTACTGTGTTGTGTAGTTGATGCAAAGCTTACGACTCCAAACTCACCTTCCAAGGGCCAACTCAACCTGAGCACGTACGAAGTATAGATATGCCTCAGAAAGCATTTCAAAAAACTTTGACGAGTAGGAGGAAGAGGTGGTTGGTAAAAACTTCATTTGAGGAACTTTTGATAGGCTTGACGAAGCATCATCTAATTGGGAAAGCTTCAAAAGTGACTCTGCTCTACAAGAAAATAGCTGCAAATTCATCAAATTGACTAAATCAGATGGCACAACCCCTACAAGAATGCATCATCCTGCCTTCCACAAAAATACTACTCCACATAAAACACATACCTGAGGAGATGCATCAGCACCGGACGCAATTGCAGCATCAGCTTCTCTCAACATACCCCTCCAATCTCTCAGTCTCCTGGCATCACTGCATTTCCATATATGTTTCTCCACCCTCTCCAACTTTGTCATGACTATATGATCTGGCTGGTGCCCTGGAAAACAAACGTGTGGTCTCGCATTCTCAACCTGCCCTAAACTGCAACTCTTAGAAGAATCAGAATTAAAATGAATGCATACAAATCATTCTTTTTTACTTTATTTAATTTAATTTTAAATTGACAAAATGGGAAAAGAGGAAAGCGATGCACGCCGTTCATAACTTATTTCCAAAATTACTACATAGTCAAATTCATGTATTACATCATCAACCCTGAGGAGTGAAGGATGATGTGTGTGCGTGTGTGAGCTATCGAGCATCGACTCAAAGTTCTCCATTGAAGTGAATTGCTAGCCTTCGAGTGAATTACCACACATACATGAGTAAGAGCATATAGTCTTGAAATTTCAAGCTCTCATACAAACTCCCCAGTGACATACATGAGTAAGAGCATATAGTCTTGAAATTTCAAGCTCTCATACAAACTCCCTGATATGGACTGAAACCATTGCAAGGTATGGGACTTGTCCCACATCGGTTGTATAGGTAATTGATGTGGGGTTTATAGGCCAAATGGGTTCCCTCACCTATCAGACTAGTCTTTTGGGTTGAGTTCTTCCGTTTGGTCTGTAACAGTGGTATCAGAGCCAACCTCGGAGTGGTGGCCCACGGAGTGGTGGCCTAGAGAAAGCCAGCCGTGACCAACGTGGCCGTGACCAACGAGGACGTTGGTCCTTAAGGAGGGGCGAATGATATGGACTGAAACCATTGCAAGGTATGGGACTTGTCCCACATCGGTTGTATGGGCAATTGATGTGGGGTTTATAGGCCAAATGGGTTCCCTCACCTATCAGACTAGTCTTTTGGGTTGAGTTCTTCCGTTTGGTCTGTAACAGTGGGTGTTATGTCTGTGCAAACTAGTGAGGATTACACTCTGCACCTTATTTCCAGCACCTTATTTCCAGCTGCATTTTTTTTATCTAGCCTTTGTTGAATCAGTCTTTGCACATTTACTTTATTTGAATTAGTCTTGGTTTAGTTAGCTAAAATAATGGGGATAGTGGGGATGCCCATATTTCCAGCATTGCACATCAGCTTTATTTGAATTAGTCTTGATTTAGTTAGCTAAAATAGTGGAGGTATTGGGGATGCCCATATTTCCAGCAACTTCTTCCTGATTGTTCCCTATAAATTGTTATGTTGGCCTTTGGAATAAAATATAGAAAATTGCTCCACTCTCCCTCTATTAGTTCTCCTGTTCTCTTCTATTTCTCTTGGCCATTGTTACAACTTCTAACAGACTTCTAACAATGGTATCAGAGCCAACTCGGAGTGGTGGCCTACGGAGTGGTGGCCCACGGAGTGGTGGCCTGGTGAAACCAGCCGTGACCAACGTGGCCGTGACTAACGTAGCCGTGACCAACGAGGACGTTGGGCCTTATGGGGGTCGAATGATACGGACTGATTTCATTGTCCCACACCGGTTAAATGGGGGACTTGGTGATGGGTTTATATAGCCAAGGGTTCTCCCACCTTATCAGCTAGCTTTTAGGGTGTGGCTCTCCCTTGTGCTGTATCACTCCCCAAATGATCCTAATAACTTACACACATACTTCAGAGGAATATACAGAAATTATGGGGTAACCTTGATTGAAGCAATGACATCATAAATTCAGAATGTGGGGTATGCACGTTACATCTAATAGCATAGGAACAATGACATATAAATCCAAATTAGTGAAATTGTCACTCTTCACACATTACACATTTAGTCCCAAATTTAGTCATTGAAACTAAAGATCAATTTTAACACATTCAGATACGACCACAAAAGATTCACAGCCCAACAATATCTGTATTCTGTAATAATCATACAGAAGAAAAACCAGTCATTTTGATCCAGATATATCTATATGAACACAACACAACAACATATTTCACACAACTAACAAATGCATTGACAAAACAAGTAAACCCCCTTGGATCAGTTTAGCAAACATGTTTATAAATAAAAGAAAAATCTACGTTGTTGTAGAGTCCAAAAAAAACCATTCCACACTAACGGAAAAGACGTTATGTAACCATTAGGAGAACATGCATAAAGATTTGAACTTTGAAGCTAAGGCTAATGCTTTACTTGACTTACCTAAGAAACAAAGATCCTAACCGATGGTGGGCTCGGACATAACTTGGATCCAGCCTAATAGCTTCCTCACATTCACTCAATGCATCATCTATTCGCTTTACAGCAATCAATGCAGCAGCCCGGTTGCAATGGTAGGCAGCATTTCCAGGTGAAACCGCAATGGCCTTGTTATATTGATTCAAAGCTTTGGCATGATTACCCTTCTTATAGTGCTCATTCCCCAAATACCTGAACTCCTCCGGATCACTGCGGGGCGTTCCGCCCTTCATTCCCTCTCCAGTCATCAATCCTCTAGGATTTGTGGCTAGGCCGGCACTGCTATCCCTACAGCCACCAGCAATGGTGGACTTGTGCGTTCCACCTCCCCGCATTATGCTCCCATGGCCGTAATTCCCTGTCCCAGAGCCCAAAACATCAGTCTTAGTGTCCCTGGTGGCCATGCCCGTTGTCAGAACCTTGCCAGATGGGCAGATGTTACCTGCTGGGAGAGTTCTTACAGCTGGAGAGATTGAGGAATTCCCGCCGGAATAAATTAGCGGGTGGGTAGCTACAGATTTAGACCTCGTATGCACCGGCTTGGATACACGAGCCCTGGGTGAACTATCCACCGAGCCAGACAACTCACCTGAGTGGCTTAAATCTGACCTCTTTGGAACTAGGTTCTGCCCATTTCGACCGGACACTGACCCGGACGAGCTAGAACTACTACTTGTGGTGGTGGCGGTGGATGTAGTTCCTCTCCGGCTAAAAAGCAAAGGCGATAACGGAGAGCCCAGATCTATCTCCCTAAAATCGGGCTTGTCAACTTCCGGTTCATCGCACTTCAGCGAATTCTTGAGCAGATCCCCCAACCCATCAATGGATCCCTTCCTGGAATGAGACATATCCGAAACCCACTCCACCGTTCTTCTCGCACTACATACGAACACCCAATGTGTGTGAAGAAATGAAGATAAATCTCACATATATCCTTCACTTCTCCCCTGCTCCAGAAAACAGCCGGCAATGTCTGAACCTCCGGAAATGTCATACACAAGTGAGATAATGGAAAAAGAAAAAGGGATTTCGTGAAATAAAAGATTAGCTATGAATTGATGGTTGTGAATTGGTTTGGTGATGGCCAGACCTGGGCAGAGATTGTAAGAAGAGAAAGAAAGGAAGGGAGGGATCCTGTTTCCAGGATAGAGAAAGGGGTTTTGCAGTTTAGAAAGAGAGCGAGCAAGGGAGATAGGGCTTTTATTTTAGTTTTATATTTTCTACTAGTATTTAACCCGTGCAACGCACGGGGTCGAACGCATGTTGTTTTTAACTCTGTTAATTTTTTGTTTTAAGTAAATAACAAAAAATAAATGTAAATATAATATAGAATGTTAGATACGACATAAAAAGAGTATGCTAACTTAAATTCATGTATATAAAAAATTAGAAAGAACGTATAAACGTATCGATTAGTTACAAATTTTTGGAAAACTTCAGGGTAAACCACATTTTTCGTGTAATTGCATGTGTTACCGTTGTCATCTAAAACTAACTCTAAAGTGGATAATCCATAAAAAAAGTATAATCCTTCATATTTTCCAATAAGTCTGGATATTTAAATTCCACTATACTCTGAAGTGGAAAACTTGAGTTCAAGATCAAGGATTCAGGTGGAATTTCAATTTCACAAATTCCATCATTAACCACACCAAGTTGTCCATCTCCAATCTTGATTATCCACTCAGAAAAAAGTTGTGGGTCATTGTCTGCATGGTTGGATGAGGATAAATGCAATCTCATATTTTTAGTCAATGTAAATACTTTACAATATGACCACAACTTTTTTCTCTTGAAGCTCGATAAGTTCACGGTAGCTTCAACAATTTCTTCTCTTGAAGCTCTTAGTATAATTGGGAGTATTTGACGAAAGTAACCCCCAATACAACCATTTTTCCACTGAAAGGTTTATTTGCAGCATTTTTATTAGAGAACCGCGTAATATCTCTCAAGGTCCGATCTAACGCCTCAAAAGCAAATCTATTCATCATACACGCTTCATCCCAAATTATAAGACTTGCTTGTTGAACTAATTCTGCTTTTGGGCTTCCTTGGTTCATCACACATGTTGAACATTCAGTTAGCACTAAAGGGATTGAGAATCTTGAAGTAATAGCAAAGCTGCAATTCCACTGGATGCAACATTTAAAACAATCTTACCATTCGATCTAAGCGCAGCAGATAATAATTTCCAAAGAAAAGTTTTTCCATTTCCCCCATAACCATACACATAATAAAAACATCCTCTCACAGCTTCCACAACTTCTATTATCTCATCTTATATTTTTCTTTGATCGTCATTCATTGTTGACAAATATTCTTTGAGATCATTCTAAAATTTATCTTTGTCATAGTTTAGCTTTTCGACCAAGAAATTATTTTGAAACGTATTCATCGGGTCATCAGCTGGAAATGGCATGCCACCAAGAAATTAAGTACTCCGTATTATTTTTTATTTTACACTTTTATTTAATTATACGTCTAAGAGAAATAATTTCATTTGGTAAATAGTTTAATTTAAGACATTTTTCATGAATGAAATTAGTACAATAGTTTCATTCTATTGCATGCTATGTAATACTCTGATTTTCAATCATGGAAAAAATATATTTAGTTATGAAATATAGTTGGGGTTGTATGAGTAATAATTTAAATTACATCAAGTTATGACAACATTTTATTATATATATGTCTTTCTAATTTTTTTTCAAAACATTAAATATATTGGGAAAAATGTAATGTAGTTATTAAAAGAGGTCATGGTAGATTCACATTACCAAATGAAATTTATATTATTAATTCATCATCTTAATTTCGTATAATTTATTTTGTCTGTTAAAACTTCATAAATATAACTTAATAATAAGCAGTTTTCCTTTATTAAGCGTTCAATTATAAGATATTTCATCGATAGACATTAATTTATGAAGAGTATTCCTCAAATAGTCCTCTGAAGTCCTGGCGTAAATGAATTTCGAGAATTTTCTCAAACTTTTTTTTTGTAATACAGTTTTTTTCAAAAGTGTTCTTATCTTGAATCAATGACTAATTTTTTCATTTATATTTGAGATATTTTTCCTAAAAATTTCTTTGTATTTGAAATGTGTTCCCCTGATTTTTTATTAAGGAGATATATTTTCCACTTTAGATACTCAAAAAATATTTTCTATTACCTATTACTACCTTAGATAAAAAAGAACATGAAATACCCTATATCTAAGTATTATTTTTTCATTTTACATTTTTATTCAATTATATGTCTAAAGTTAAACATTGTTGATGTTAAATAGTTTAAATTGAGACATTTTTTCATGGATGAAATTAGTACAGTAATTTCATTCTATTGCCAACTGTGTAATACTTTAATTTTCAATAATGGAATCAATATATTTAGTTATAAGATAAAAATGGGTCTGTATGAAGAATATTTTCTATTACATCAAATTATTACAACATTTCACTATATATAATTCTTTATATTTCTTTAAAAAACATTACATAGAATAGGGAAAAAAAATCTAACTCACTTTTTTTCCAAACATGGAGGTTGAAATATATCGTTTACCTTAAAAATCTTATATATCTTATGTGGCTAATCTTTTATATGTGAAAAAATGTTTAATATTATCAATTGTTAAAAAGGGTTTGTGGCCACCGAATTTAGGGATCTAACTCATCTAAGTAATACTCCGTATGAGTTTAATTTAACCTTGCTAATTTTTTTTAATCGGGATTCATATTAGTCCGATTGTCCGTTGCTTTTAGAAATGAGAATAAAGAAATTTTGAAGTTAAAAAATAGCCGAAATAATATTTAGTATCCCCTTTAGTAATTGATTAGTACATTACAATAAATAAGTGATTAAATAAGATTATATTCAAAAAAACAATCAGGGGCATATTTATAAATGTTTTAGCTATTTATTATCCAATTTCGGAGCAAGTATAATAAGGGTTGTTTTAAATGTAAACGAATTTATAACATGTTAAAGAGATCTACATTTTTTAGCTTAGTTTAACAATATTTTGTCTCTATTTTAAACATTTTTATGGATTATAATTTTATATTGTAATTAATATTGATTAAACTGATATTTTTTTTATAAATCCACAATTGAAAAGAAATGAGAAGTATGAAATCTTTTACTTCCATAGTCATTGAATTCGTAAGTAGAGCAAAATAAAAAGCAAGAAGAATAATATGTTTTGAATTAAAAAATAAACTTATATGATGCAGTATATGGATATAAGTGGCCGGAATGGAAGACTCAAAGTATTTTAACGCGTTTAAATTATAAAGTAAATCATAAAAAACCAAACACTTATAAATCATATGGCACAAAGGGTCTCACCACTCGAAAGTATTTGGGATACCTGTGCACCCAGCCGCTCCTGAAATCCAAAGGCAGGCTGATGCGCTTGTCAACCGACATCATTAGCATCCGAGTCAAATATTCAGCAGCTTTATCACTGTTCTTTTCTATTAGTTCAGCTTCTTCTTGCAATAGACTTTCAGCTTCTTTTGTCAACCCACACCATAACTCCCTTGCGGTCCTTATACAGATCAAATATTTTGGGAGATTTCCGTAGGAAATCTGAGAACTTGTGAGATTTTGGGAGGTTAACTTGCCTCCAGTACTGATCAAAGGTATTGATCAAGGGAACGAACTGTGATGATTTGATCAGACTCTTGCTTGAGAGTTTCAAGTATGAATGCATATTTTATACTGTGATTAGTTGGTGTTTCAAGCCAATCACTTTTGGAAGTTTGCACCCTTTACCTTGCTTCACATAGCTCCAAACATCAAACCATCAATATGGTGTCCTTAATAATCTCATTCCATCTTTGAAAAGGAAACAAATATATATAGTCCTCCTTCCTATTTTGTTTCCCTTACTGATTCAAGTGAACACACCATCAATAATTATAGATTTTTGCTTTATATACACATAACACTCTTATCCCGCAGATTAATGTCTCAGTTTAAATTCCTTGAATAGGCAGATTATTGCTTCATATATGCATCAATACTACTGTCTACACGTTAAATTATTTTATTTCCCTAAATAGGCAGGTTATTGCTTGACAAATCCTTCGAATAAGTACTTTAACTCATTTTACAATTTTTACCATGACTTTGTGATATCAAAATCTATAAGTGATACACATAATACTTTATTCCAACTTCAAATGTTTCAATCCATTCTCTTAGGGCTTAGTCAATATATTTGAATTTTAATTGTCAAACTATCAAACCATTATCTGGTAACTTTCTTCCACTAAAGCACAGAAATATGCCAATTATAAAACACCTTCATTTTTTTTTATAAAAAACACTTGCCTCATGTTATCCTGCTCCACCAAGAGGCAAGACAGACTCTGCACATCAATGTTCTTCTCAACTTGTCCCTGACTGCAAAGAGAAGATTAGGTAAAATACTAAGAGAATATTAGGTAAAACACTAAGAAAAAAGGCAAAACACTACGTACTTGTATTTAAAAGTGAGTACTTCATACATTTGACCAACATTATTTAGGGGTGTTAAATTTAGTTTAACCATAAAGAAAGATTGAAATTTAGCTATAGTTGTTGAAAAATGACTCTTTTTATGGAATGAAATTAAAATCTTTAGCTGCTAATAAAGTAAAGCAACATAAAGCATGATATCAACCACTCAAGTTTTAAGAGATAAACAAAGCATAATAGCATTTTTATATGTTCATCACTTCATCATACCATAATCATAAATGTATTAATCAAGGGAATACCAATGACAAAATCTGGGGAAATTTAGTAGTGGAAATGAACCCAAGCAACACCTACTCTCCCCAAAAGTTGCAACTGCAATAATACAAAAAAAGAACTATCCACCTACAGAAGATGAAAAAAATTTAAAATAAAACATACAATCTCTGATTTCACTTGATGACTACCTGGATTCACTCCTTTGCATCTCAACCTCACTGGAGCAAAATAAAATAACTCAAGAAAATTCTAAGGAATTAAACAAAATTCAGTACTATTAAAAAACATGAAGCATATATCAATGTGCATTTCATAGATACATGCATGCACGGTCGTGGCGTCCTCGAAGTGCGAGAGCAGATAGTGAGCCATGTCAAGAGGGTTCAATTGGGATTTGGGAAAGAGCATCTGCATTGCAGACAGACAGGAACTCATTGGTATTCCGTTGGAGCTGAAAAAGTAGCTAAGGCCCAGGGGATGAAGGTGCATGAGAAGTGCATAACACATGAGAGTACCTTTATTCCAAATGTAAATGTTTCAATTTATTTGCTATTGGGTTGGTATAGTCAGGAACTATCAAAGCATTATCTGGTAGCTTTCTTCAACTAAAGCACACATATATGCTAATTAACAACACTCACTTGCTGCACATTTGACCCACATCTTCTAAAACACAAATAGATCATTAAACATCAAGACACCACCAGAAAACTATAAACAATTGTAAATATATACTCTACACTTATAAAACCTGTCAAGTACTCTTGGCATATATTAAAAGAAGAAGTAATATCGATATTGATATGCGCTCAAAAAAATTAATATATTAATATAATTTAAGACTTTATTAGTTTATTATATTTCTTTTTGACTTTTCATAGAAAATACAATCATGTTTTATACAAACTACAAATTATTATTGGTATCATACAAAACCCTTAAACAAAATAGTAGAAAAGTTGAAATCTAACTTCCAAGGACTATGAGCTATACAATTTTATTGTTGATAAGACATACAATATTATTTTATTAATATTTGCTGGTCTCTTGCTATTAAAGAATCTGTGAAATTAATATTTTCCACATTAATATTCATTCTCTATTTGTAGAAAAAAATCTAGGTTAAAAAATGAAACCTTTGCTGGTTCACTGAATATCGGCAATTAGAAGCTTTAAATCCCACCAGCAAAAAATAAATCTTTCTGTTTGATGAACTAAAATAGTAATTGATATCGAGAAAGAAACAAAAAATCCTAGAAATTGTTATATAATCCTAATCGAGATGGAGAAATAACTTACCGAAATCAGTGCTCTTTAGAATTTCGGCTTCCCTGATGAATACCAGATTTAGATTTCCGATGCGAGGGGATGAAGATCCGAGTCTGCTGCCGTCCACTAGAAGCCCATCGGCCAAATTTACTTTGAGTTTGGCCGCTACAGGGAAGGAAAAAAATGACAGAGTATTTTTGTTCTATCTATTTTTGGCATTGACGCAGCGGGGAATCAGCCTTGAATCATCCGTAATTTCCTTGCAGGTTTTCTTTCCTTCTGTACAATCGATCCCAGTCCCTCGCGAGAGAGCAGAAGAATCGGTTCTGGGATCTTGGACGGAGATATGCGATTTCCCTTCAGCCGCGTGGACCTGACGTGTAATTAAATTAGAGCCCTTAAATTGCCACGTGTCAAAATTCTAGGCTATCAACTCTCAAATATTATATTAAATGATACAGGCGTGCTGAGTCACGAGACTATCTCTATACGGAAAAGAGCAATGCGGGGTACACTACTCCAAATCTACACCACCACCTTCTCCACCACACATTTTAATTTAATTTTTATTTACTTATTTTTTTTAAAATTTTTTTGCCTTTTTTAGTGGACAAGGAGGGGGTGGGGGACATATGGGGTACACCTTTGGTGTACCCCTAGCATTTTTCATACGGAAAATGCTAGGGGTACAAGGCAAGAAAATGAAATGAAAATGCTAGGGGTACCCCAAACATCCCCACCCTCTCCATCACCATACAAAAAGGCAAGAAAATTCAAAAAAAAAGTAAAAAAATAAAAATAAAATAAAATGAATGGTAGAGAGGAGAGTGGTGTACATTTGGGTACACCTTTGGTGTACCCCTAGCATATCTCATCTCTATACATTTACGGTCCTGCTAGGGGTACACAGTGATGTACCCCAAATGAACACCATATACACCCCTTCACTTCCATCCTATAACCCACCCTACCCTCTCATTCTCAATCTCTCCTCCTCACTCTTTCTTCCTCCTCAAATCCTCAACTCCCTCCCTCTCTGTCGATGATGATCAACGCAGCACCCTTCATCATCTCTCTTTCTCACTCATTCTCTCTTCTTCCATAGATCTCATATCTCTCCTCCTCCCAGCAGGTGATTACCTTCATCTTCGCCGCCATAAATTTGCACTTCGCGATCCTCGATCTTCGGCGCCCCCCTGAAGTTACACGGCGTGGGCTCCCCGCAGCTGCCCAGAAGCATCACAACGACGCCATTATCATCATCATCGCTAAGTTCTGGATCGGAGTAGGGCGACGAATCACGCCTTCGATTTCTTTTTGCCGCCACTTGCTTCCCCGTCATTGCCCGCTCTTCTATGATCGTCACCGCAACTTTCTTCGTCTTCAACGTCGCTGGAGCCTGGAGCAGTTGATTTTGACATACATGGTGGTGCAATTTTCACTCAGAGTACACAGACATTAAATGTCGGTGTTCAAACAATTATAGAACTTTAGTGTTTGTGTAACTAAACAGGAGAAGGTATATGGTACAACCTGATGTACCTAGAAATAGGTACATCCAAGTAGTATTCATTCTGAAGTAGAGTAGTACTCATTCTCGCACAAACATAACTATTTAATTTGAAATAGCATGGTACTCATTCTAAAATAACGTAGTACTCATTCTGAGATAACGTAGTATTCATTTTTACTCTTTTATTCATTATAATTATAATATTTATTTATGAAAAATATCATGTTCATTCTTAAACAAAGTAATGTTCATTCTCAAACAAGGTAATGCTCATTCTCAAGTAACTTACCTTTCATTAGGTTTAGATTTAGAGAATATAAATCTATTGGGCCCTAAATCTATTGAGCCTTGCTGCTCCTGCGTGCATCTCCTCTATCCTCCCAATTGCTTCTCCCCAGATCCAGTCGCCGATGCAGATTACTCTCTGTGCAAGCCGCGCCGATGTCGCTTCTCTTCCTCGGCAATCGCCAACCGACGGGAATTTTAGGTGACTACTTCGAAGCAATAGGCGTTGGCGCAACTCTCTTCCCTCAATTTAATTGCCGGCTGTACCGAAAATAAGGTACAACCGGTTGTACAATATAATTTGCTATTAAACATCATTGATTGTTGTATTTTTATTTTGTTTTAAAAATAATTAAATTTGTGAAATGTTCTTGATACTCTATTATTTGGCATATTTAATGAGTGAAATTTTCATCCAGGTTACACAGATAATAAATGTCTATGTGTCAAGAATTACATATATTTAATGTCTATGTAATTAAACAATGGTAATTATAGCTTTTTTCTTTTTTTACAATCTAGAAAAAATTGTGAAATGTTCTTTATGCTCCATTATGTGTATATTTGTTGGATTAATTTTTATACAGGTTACGCATACAATAAATATTTATTTTTAATGAATTACAAACGTTTATTGTCTATTCGACCAAACATTACTTTATGCATATTTACTTTTTTTTTTACAATATAAGAAACAATTGTGAAATATTATTTGGTATATTTGACAAGTGCATTTTTCATACAATACATATATTACGTGTCTGTGTTTGAATAATTACAAACTTATAGTCTCTGTGTGACAAAATTTGCCCGATTCTTTTTTACACTATTAGTCTTCTGAACCACTACAACTCACCGCCAGAAATTCATCGTGTCGTACCTGCTTTCCCTACACACCGCCGTTGTTGGGTATCTTCTAAATCGTTGCCAGTGTTGTCGCCGGAGGGTGTTTCTCACCTACCCTTGCTGGATATTTCTCACCTATTGTCTTTGTCGCTATCCATCAACCACACCACTATTTGGGACATGAAATCTACAAATTTCTAATTTATTCTCTCAATTGTACTTATTAAAATCTAATTTTTAGGGCTTTTTTTATTTATTTTTATTTGAAGCTCAGCAAAAGCTGAGTGGTAACTTAACAGTGGAACACATAGTACATTCACATTGATATAAGCATAATTGTACCTGTACTAAAGTATGAGACACCACATTCAAGTTTGATAAAAGTTTACAAATAAATAATGATGCAATGCCAAATAATCATGATGCATGAGTTAGACTGTGCAAGGACTCCCTGCCCTTCGGTGATCATCCCCACGCGGTAGATGAGCCGAGGAACGCCTTAGTCTTCTCGCTGGAGACTAGAATGTGGGTGATAGCTGAAGCCTAGCTACCATGTACGTACACAAGCCCTCGTGATGAAAACCCGTTGGATCCCGCAGGCTCTTAGATGGGCCCGCGGAAGAGGCGCACTAGGCCTGACCTCTTGTCGCGGTATGCTAAGTATGCCATGATCCTAAACATGCGTCTAGGATATACATGAAGTTATGAATGCATTCGTTGAAGAATGACGTTATGTTTAACGCATACAAATATGTTTGATTCCATATGAAAGCCACTTGTTCGACATGGCGGACCTGGGTTCAGAGCTGGCTGATAATTGATTAACCACTGTTGATAATCGATTATCATGCTGTGCAGCTTCTGTTCCCAAGTTCCACATGCCAAGATAATCGATTGTCAGATGATTCTGTCCCGGAAACCCAAGTTCAGAGAGGCCTGATAATCGATTATTGCTCTGTGATAATCAATTATCAGTGAAACCAAACGGTGACTCAAGAATCTGCAGACTTGATAGTCGATTATCTCATATGTGATAATCGATTATCACACTTTGCTGAACCAACCGAAGAGTTCAGCGTGACGTGATAATCGATTATCATGTTCTATAAATCGATTATTAAGGCACGCTGATTCCTATTTTGTCTCTTTGGTTGTCGTCTATACGTTGGAAGTTGTTTTAGATGAACGTTAATGTTTTTCGTATTAAGTAATCGGTGAACTTACAAAATTTCAAACGTTTATATCATCAAATGCGTAATCGAAGGGTCTAAATAACGTGGGTACACGTAAGTTTAGCTGGGTAATCCTATGAATATAACGATATGATTATACTATGAATTCTAAAGTTAGAGGGCAATGTACTCACCTCTAACGCAGGGGTTGACGATACAAAAATGGATGAACGAACGAACATCTAACGAACATACGAACGGTGGACGACAAACAATGAACGGCTTCTTGTGTGAACTTCTCCTCTTCTACCTCCCCGTCTACTCGCTGAAATCCTCTCCTTGCCTACTTGATGCCTTGGCCGAACAGGGGAAATGAGAGAGAGTGTGTGTAAAGGGATGGGGGTTACAAATGATAAAGGGAAGATGGAGGAAAGAGGAAGATTTATATTAAATGGAGGTTTAATGAGGAATGATGGGGAGTTAAAGGGGAAGTAAATGTGTGTGTTAGTGTGTGGCGTGAGAAGGGATTTAATGGGGGAGTTACTCCCCCTAAATTCTATTCCGTTATGTAAAATCTGACCTGAATAGTACGTGGTTTTCCCCTCGAACGGGTCTGAATCGAGATCCGTCTGCGTTTCTAGAATCAGACAGTCAAGACGAATATTATGACGTGGTCAAATAATTTTTTTTTTCTAAGGATTTCTTTTCCCAACCCTGGTTCGAGTTAGTAATTAATTAATTAAATTAACCAATTCTAGTAGATCGGGTTTCAGGGCGTTACAAGCTTTATGTGGCAATATCACGTATCACAAATCACAAGGGGTTAAAAATCTTGATTTCCAATGAAGACTTTGAATCGTCAAACCAAAGTACAAATGTAGTTTATAAGAAAGTTTTCCAAAACTTATAACACTTCTCATCCACACAGAGTATTAATGTATATTTCCCTTTCTCTAAGATTTTATTATATTATCTTATCTTTATGTTCGATCAACCCGATTTTCCGCCTGCATCCATTCCCGGTGCACCGGCTGACCTCCCTCAGCTTCTTTAGGGGCCGATCCACATCCTCCTCAACCGCCTCCTTCCCATTGGGATGAGAACCGATTGTATCCGGCCTCTCTGTTGACATCACGTCGCAAAATCTAGAATCATCTACACGAGTATATATTGAATCTGAGCTCTCAAATGACCACATGGCATCGCTGGCTGATCGAAGAAGCCTTCTGTATCGCTGGACCGCATACGGATAAGATTTTAGGAAGTTCGGTCGGTGCACAGATTTAAGAAGCCTTTTGGTTGCATGAAGAAGAGGAGTCTGCAAACTTTCTGGGCTATTGGTCGGATCTGAAACCTGGATTTGTATTTATAAGCAAGGCATGAAAATCAATCAAAATCTATATTATTAGAAATCTTTAAAAATCTATCAATTTTTGAATATTATCATATTTAGAAAGATTTGTAAAAATATGAATTTAACACATCTAGATTTTAAATAAATTTTTAAAATCTAATTTGAATACTTATTGATTTTCAAAAGGATAAAGCTACTTGTACCCCAACCTTTTGTACCCCGCAGTTTTGCACCAACACTTTGTGTTGGTGTAAAACTAATTTTTATTAACGCACCAACACTTTGTGTCCGTGTAAATTTTTGTTAACGCACCAACATTTGTGTCGGTGTAAACCATCAAAATGTTTGGGTATAACTGCGATGTACAAATGAGATACAATTTTTGATGTAAATGTATCATGGTCCTTTTCAAAATTCAAAAAATCTGTTAGATTCCTTATTGAATACTACCCGTGGATTCGTGGAACCTTACCCTCAAATTCATTTTGGCTCTGTTATTTCCTCGTAATTCACGATCTTTGCAGTTTGCATCCGCCACCACTAAAAATTTAGGACATTGCTAAGCCTAAACCTTTTCTCCCCCGAGGACATTTGTTCTAGCGAAGAATATCCTCAAACCCTATCTTCTCCATTTCCGCCTAACATTCCCAGATTCGGAAATGAGAGCAACAACGATGAGATCTCTTTTGAGAGGTGCAGTTTCCGATGCTTCTCGCGTCTCGCGACGCGGATTCGCCTCAGAATCCGCCCCGGAACGTAAAGTTGCCATTTTGGGAGCCGCAGGCGGGATCGGCCAACCGCTGTCGCTGCTCATGAAACTCAATCCTCTCGTCTCTCACCTCTCTCTTTATGATATCGCCGGGACACCGGGCGTTGCTGCTGATGTCAGCCACATCAACACCAGATCTGAGGTATCACTTCATGGATTACTATTCTAATACGTTACTACTATGAACATATTTTTTCATTCTTTATTGTTGGCGTCCTTTGGACTTAACTGTAGGGGTTTCTCCCCAGATTATCCAAGTTCTCCATGAATTCATCTATAGTTTTTCATGATCTCTGTTACTTTTGAGTACCCTTGTTGACTTATAGTGATTATCTGATTTCTCCTATGTGTCACTTCAATTACAGTCATTGGGCGTTGATTAAATTGTTCGTATTTGAACCATTTGACTATCTGCTCCACTCTTCAAATCTTTATTGCCATATCACGTTCATTTCTGGGATTTCCTGATTGAAAGTTTGGAACTTACTTTAAAAGTGACGCAACATTCATGTCCTGGATATTCGTTTGTTTGACCTTGTTGATTACTTCAGATCACATCGAATCTCTTGTTTTTCTTCTGAAAATATCTATTTTCACTAACTAGTTTGCGTGGATAATTTGTCCCTCACGTATAGGTGGTTGGCTTTATGGGAGAGGAAAACCTTGGCAAAGCATTGGAGGGGTCTGATGTTGTCATTATTCCTGCTGGTGTTCCACGAAAGCCCGGGATGACCCGTGATGATCTCTTCAACATCAATGCTGGCATTGTAAAATCTCTCAGCTCTGCCATTTCCAAGTATTGCCCACACGTTAGTATCACTGTGCCCTTTTATGTAATTTTAGTCAGAATTGATTTGAATTGATTTTTTGAGCTAACTCCAGTTCTGTCATCACCCAATATAAAAGGCACTTGTCAATATGATTAGCAACCCTGTGAACTCCACTGTACCAATTGCTGCTGAGGTCTTTAAAAAGGCTGGGACTTATAATGAAAAGAAGCTCTTTGGTGTCACAACACTTGATGTGGTCCGTGCCAAGACTTTCTACGCTGGAAAATGTAATGCTAATGTTGCAGGTATGCCTCTTAATGAATGTGTATATCAGCAACAGTTCAGTTTATTCATTGTTAAATTACGAAGAAATTATTTCTACACTCACAGTTCTTTTGGGGCTTATCAGAAAACCCATTGAATATCTTACTCTTCTGATCCCATTTTCAGAGGTCACTGTACCTGTCATTGGTGGGCATGCAGGCATAACAATCCTACCATTGTTTTCTCAAGTAAACTATTTTTTTGTTCTTGCATAGTTCTTTTACATGAACTAAATAATGTTCACACTTTGAATGTTAGCATATTGAATTATTTACATGTAACACTATAGGCTACACCAAAATCCAACTTATCTGATGATGAGATCGTTGCTCTTACAAAAAGAACACAAGAGGGAGGTACCGAAGTTGTGGAAGCTAAGGCCGGGAAGGGTTCTGCAACACTCTCGATGGCGTAAGCTTAAACTCATTGTGTCCCTGTCTAAGAAGTTCTTTGATTATCTAGATTTCAATTGTCAGAGAATTACTAATGAGTCTCGGCAATAGCCTGTACTAAATATCTTATAACCTTTGCTTAGGAAAAAGGTCTGGCATGTGTGCTTCCTTCTCTCCCTCTCATGTCATGCAGTCTCTATTATTTTAAAGAATTATGAATGATTTTGATAAATAGAATTATATTCATATACGCAGAAAAGCTATGAGGCACAGGCACTCTATTTTTGCAAATGAACCTGTACCATGTACTTTTGGTGTTGGGTACACTTGCTCAAACTTTATTTATTTTCAAGCTTAATTTTAATTTTTTAAAAATTGGGTTCAACTAAATACCGTTCGTGTATGAGGTTTATTTAAAATAACTTAATTTTGAGGTGAATTTTTCTATTTTTCCTTGATTCTATTTCCTGCCCCCTCCCCTTTCAATATGAACCCACCCCTTTCTCTTATCTTTTATTTTTCCACTCAATCGCACACTCTGATCTTTTAGCAATACTCTGTTCCACAAATTTTACCCCCTTTTTTTCTTACTCTATTTCCCACACTCTCACCTTTTAGCACAACTTGATTCCAATGAATACCCAATCTTCATTCATGTATTCAGCAGTGACAGTTTCCTAACAATGGAGGATCTTTTAGCTTCTGGTTTGATTTAAGTTCTGTAAGTATATGTGGAACAATTTAGGCTCGATTTTTATCAGAGTTTGCGTGTTCTAAAATTTATCGGAATGAAAATTTTATTTCTTTGTTTTTTATAATTAAAAAGCATCACAAACTTTCCATATCCGTACCCGTATTCATATAAGTACGTATGCAACGTAGTCGAAAAGCAAGTATTTGGTTTTCAGTTGTCACAGTTAGTTTTTCCATCTGTCAAGTGCCAACTTTCTATGCTGGGTTATCATTGATATGCTCATCACTTTCCATCTAATCCTTATTTTTTGACCCTTGCAGATATGCTGGGGCCATATTTGCAGATGCTTGCTTGAAAGGACTGAATGGAGTTCCTGATGTTGTTGAATGTTCTTTTGTGCAGTCAACTGTCACCGAGCTTCCTTTCTTTGCGTCAAAGGTATTAAACTCTAATAACTATTGAATTCCTCTTTTCCAAAGGAGTCATGTTTGACCAATGTTTAACTTTTGGTAAGGTACCAATGTTTGACCAGTGCTTGTTGGTTTTGCTAAATTTGTCATAAGTAAATCTCTGCGACATTTATTTAAAATTCCTGGCAAAACACATGCATATTAGCTTTACTCGATAGATGTAGTCTCTTTTCTCTGAGACAAATAAGTGGCTGAAATTAGTTATTTTTGGGACAGACCCACAGAGGGATTAATTTAATATTTATAATGAATCCTTGGTTGTGGCCTTGCTTGTGGTCTTTCGTGAACAGCCTCTACCTTGTGGGATTTCACTGGGTATTGTTGTAAGTGGCTGAAATTAGTTTTTTTGGGACAGAGCCACGAAGGGATTAATTTAATATTTATAATGAATGCTTGGTTGTGGCCTTGCTTGTGGTCTTTTGTGAACAGCCTCTACCTTGTGGGATTTCACTGGCTATTGTTGTCTTGCTTGCTTGCTTGTGCCCTCACCCCCCTATGAATGAACTTCAACCCTTTTCTTTAGAGGTTGTGCTGGGTTTGTCTAGTCATGGAACTTTATAGTTTATGATTGAGGTGTAATATAAAAAAAATACTGTACGCGTCAATGTTTGGTGAACCCTTGAATTATGTCAGCATAACTTTTACTAAGATTTCAACGGTATGTTCAAGTGCGGCATTGGCGTATGAAGAAAAATCTGTTTATTCAAATTTCATTGCACCTTTTGGTTTCTTCTTCGTAATCAGTGTTATCAATGGCGCAAATGACGTGCGCCATAAATGTGCCATTGGCGTTTTGCCCTCCCTGCACCACAAACCTGCTTGTGGCGATCGAGTATCCTGTGGCAGAACCATTTATGTTCCATCTCCATTTGTCGCCATTTTTTTTAAAAGTTTTTTTGCTTAGTTCAGGTCCAATAAGGTCTAATAAGTTAGGCCCAATACCAAAAAACCCTTTTCCTTTTGGTCAAACTCAGCCGTCACTCACTCTTCCCAATCGCAACCATCGCTCATCCTCTTCTTCTCCTTTGCCTATCCCGACTCAAGAGAGGAGGGAGGGAACCTGCGACAACCTTTTTCTTTTTCTTCACAGCTTGCGTTTCACACGACTCTGGAACCTGCGATGTAAAATGTCGTGCTCTTTGGCCTGGGAACACTAACTTCTTGGATCATTTTGAAATGTTTTGGATTTGGAATAGCTTCTTATTTGTGTTTTTATTTCCAACATGACTATTTAGATCAAGTACTCTATTGCTGTTTTATGGAGTTCATGTCTTATACCTGTGTGAATCTTATTAATAATGATGTGTGACTAGTGTCCTGTGGCGACGCCATATTTGCGCCATCGCCATATGATATTGGCCCATCGCCATGAATGTCGCCATGCGCGCCATGCGCCATGACAACGATGTTTGTAATAGGCTGGAATATTACTCTGTATTATTACTTCAG